ATCTCCCATCATTGTCCCGCTTGGTATGTTTCACGAAATGTGCTTCACATTCAGATTCTTCGCCAGATAGATGCTTGACACTAGGAACTTCTTCAAGCTCCCAAAATTTCATCAAATCATTTTGCAAATTAATTTGACTAAAATTACACACGGTTTTTGCACCAGATTCTCCCCAAGCACCCGACAGGACCCAACCCAAACGCGTTTTTTGAAGGAGCGGTTTATCATGCCCTAAATCAACCTGGCATATGCACATAAGACGCCAAAATACTTGAGCTCCCAATAACAAATCTATTTTATCAGGCTTAGAAAAACATGGATCAGCCAATTTAATATGCGAGGGAATATTTAGACTCGCCGCATTAATATTAATACTCGGTAAATTGTCTGTGATTTGTGGGATGACAAAACACGAAATTACAACGTTAAAGTTAGTGTGAATAGATTCAATCCTTAATGCGCATTCACGATTTATGTTTGATTCGCAATTATTTAATCCCAAAACGGTAATTGGCCTTTCCCTTGTTTTTAGCCCAAGCTTTTCGCAAAGATTTTGAGATATGTACGAGGCTTGTGAACCCGAATCTAATAATGCTCTTGCTGTATGCATTTCTCCCCATTTATCAGAAATTTGCACCAACGCAGTTGCTAACAACACGTAACTACTGCTTACTTGAGCAGATAAGGCAACACTCGAGGCAACACTATTTTTCGCCCCTGCATCCTGAGTTGATTCTGGCTTCGCCCTTTCAAAATGAAGTAATGTATGATGTTTTAAATTACATTTTTTACAAGTGGATCCCCTGAAATTTTTATAGGCGTGACCGAAGCGTAAACAATTTAAGCACAAACGTAGTGCCTTTACTTTCTCAATGCGATCGTTTACGTTAAGTTTTAAAATTTCACCACAACTTTGAATATAATGAGTACCCTTGCATGCGATGCATTCGTTAGTGCTACTATTAGATTCTGCTGTAAAAAAACCCCTAGTTGATTTCGCATTATTACGGTTTTGAACTTCGTTGTGAGTAAAGCTTATAGTTTCTAATAAGTCCGCTCTAGATTTCAGAAATGATTTAAATTCTGTTAGCGACGGCACTTCTTTATCAATTTTAAAATCTTCCCACTTGTGTAGTGTCGATGTGTCTAGCTTTTGTGAAATAATATAAATTATTAGAGTATCCCAATTGTCAGTTGGTTGATTTAATTGTTTTAACGCTTCAAGATTTTTTGTAATACCATCCAACAATGCCCTTAAGTCCCTTGCGGATTCTTTGTGAACTCTATTCACTTCGAATATGGATTGTACATGATTATGAACTAATAATTTGTTATTGTCGTATCTATCCCGCACCAAATCCCAAGCAACCCGATAGTTAGTCGCGGTAAACTCTAAAGATTCTGTTTGTTGCTTTGCCTTACCACTTAAGGACGCCCGTAAATAATGAAATTTTTGAATGTCGCTAATAGTTTCATTTTCGTGAATTAACGACACGTATGTGTCCCGAAATTCCAACCACTTTAAGAAGTTACCATCGAAATTTGGCAATGTTATTGTTGGTAATTTAATGCTTTGACTAAACGAGTGATTTTGCTGAGGCACCGAACCCCCTGACATAATAACCGATTGTGTCGAATCCCCTTTATCGTTATCTTTAGATATTTTTTTTGCTTTGGCAATAGTATTAAAGAAATCCAACTCAAATTGCTCCCGTTGTTTGTATTCAATGTCAATGTCAAGAGCGGTTTCCTCTATTTGAATTTGCACCTCCTCGAAATTGTCTAACAAAGTTTCCGCTCTAGCTATTCTCTCATTTAATTGTAAAACCTCCACGTCACCGAGATCGTTTCTTCCCTCAAATTCACCGACATATTTAGCAAACGTTGTAAGCTTTTGTTTTATGCCGCCCCGTTTAGTTTTTAACGTACTCATTGTTTAAATCATATACTTAGTTAGTACGGAAAGAAACCGATTAAACACTAGGAATATTTTGGAATCAATGGAAAAACTTACTTTCTACAAAACACGGTATGATAAAATAAAATAAGGAAGATGAAACCGTGCTACAACGTCCAGAAAGAAAATTGCAACTGTTGCTTCCAAGTCTATGATCCCTATATGTTTGGACCACCACAGGACACAAGGATGGACAAAATATCTGATGCTATAAATAACTATAATAACTTTCACCAACAAGGACAGGTTCCAGCAGCGCACTAACACCCCGGCTCAAATACAAGAACAGCACAGAAGAAAGAAGAACGACCAATAGCCAATGCAGACCATATGGTGGCATTCCACCACATACACTACAGGGCCGGCTTTACCGATTTTGTATATTAATATTTATATATAAATATATATAAATATATATATAAATAATATATATATAAAAATATATTTTTAAATTAAATTTGGAAAAAAAGTAAGAATGCAAAGATATAAATTAAATGAAAACGGTATAAACACTAATTTAGCAATAAAATAAATAAAGAGTATACAAGGTTGGTAGCCGGAGTAAGCAAAGAACTAACATACCCACCCCCATTCACGAATACCAATTGAATGGGGTTACTACTAAGGCCTAGGTTGCGGAGGATTCCGGATTGTACTTAGTTTTGGGTCAGTTCAATGTCCTCCAAAAACCCTTCCTAAACTGGACGTATGGCCCGACCCGGCTGACAAAAATTCCGGGAGCGGCCTTAACCTTTGACACTGTCTTCCACGACCTCCTAGGGTGGATCTACCAGCCGGCGTAAAAACTTCGGATCCAACAAACACAGGTAATGCTGTGATTTGGCGGGATACGCAGGAGAACGAAAAGGGGGTAAAATATCCCCGGGAGATCGTGGAGGATAATATATCTGGGGCCTGCCATACGTTCCCATACTCATACTCATACTCATACTCACTCAATGGAAAAACTTACGTTTGTTAACGCCTTTGGATTAGGATGGGATCGCACACAGAACACAGGAATGCTTGTATTGGCTTCGTTTTTTATCAACCGACGCTTCTCAATTTTGCACGATGGCCGACTTGATTTTTCACATAAATTGTTATTTTGCTTAACCACGCTCTGCTACCATTATGTTTATGTTTCACTTCTTCTGTGTAATACGCAAAATAAAAACACCTTTGGTTTTTTATAACACAAGCTCTTTTCTTTATTTTGAACAAGAATATACACTGTAAAAAGCATTTGCAACGTACATTGCCGTGCATCACTCTAGCTTCTCGCAAAAGCCGCTAGCGCCACCGTCGCTGTCAAAGCCAAGCGCGAAATTTAAATTTAAAATAAATCAAATGTACAAATACAGACAATATTATTTTATTTTAAGAATTAAGTTTTTTTTATAATATAATTTTTTTTTATTTTTTTTTTATTTCTACAGATAAATGTTATATAAAAATTATACCTCTAACTATGATATAAAAATATTATAAAATTAAAATGAACAACTTTTAAATATAAACAAGAAAGAAAATAAGGAAAACTACAGTACATATTACTTGAGACTAAAAACAGCTTTTAGGGCTTGTCGTTTATTAATATGGTTTTTCAATAAATTAAAAAATATTTATATTACCAAAAATGTAAAAAAACAGAATTATTTAAGAAACAATCTTCCACCATCTTATCTTCTTATTCCTAAAAAAACTGAGTGTATTGCCTTCAAAAACCCTTATTTTCGTTGCTAAGATTCTAATTCGAAAAATTTGAAACATGATTCAAGGTAAGAAATAAAACTTCATTATTTCAAAGTAAAAACGAAAAAAAAAAATATTTTTTTACAAACGGGGCTTGGATGAAGTTATTGAAATTTTTCACCGTTTAACATATCACCCTGTAGAAAATTTTCTTGAAGAACCGTGAGCTTCATATCTATAGCATGAATTGCCATAGGATGAGGCTAGCAGCGAGGGGTAAACCACTTTAAAATCTTAGAGACCAACGTTCAATGTTAGTTTACGTTGTGTTGAGATTTTTTTCCTTATCAGTCGTTATTAATAAGGAAAACTTGCTTAATGGGTGCTTAATCGGTGCTTAATCAGTGCTTAGCGACGCGTTGTACATGACTACCCTTGTTATTGTTATCCTTAGCCGTTAATTCGTAAGGGATTTTTAATTTAAAAAATCAGTGGTTTACCCCTCGGCTGGCAGACATCACAGACCAAAATAAAATCGTTCAAGAAACAAAAAGTTATGTCGTTTTGAAAAAGAACGAACTTTTTGGTCGCGACTCATTGAGTGGTGAGCAGTTTAGTTATTAGTGGCGGCTTTTTCACTTGTACCATGGTTCAATTCTTATGCTAAATTGTCCCCTGAATCCGAAAATACCGTCAAAAATTATGAAAGTGGAGCAGTTTTTGAGATATAGTCAATTCCATATTAATTGAAAAATTGACTATTTCTCAAAAACTTTTTTAACTTTTGATAGTATTTTCAGATTTAGGGACAATTTTACATAAGAATTTTGGGATACCATGGTAATCCATGGTTAACCATGGTGAGTATAACTATTAAATTAGTAACTAATTCATTTTTAGAGAGCGGTGCAGAGGCAGAATACGTAGAAGAACTGAAAGGGGGTAAAATATCCCTGGGAAATCAGTGTAAGTTTCTCATATATGCATATTCTAATAAACAATAAAAGAATGAATAATTAAAAAAATTATCAACACATTTTTAGCAATTCAGACATATCTGCAAAATTCATGCACATATTTTCAGCAACACAAACATATCTCCAAAATTGATGCACACCTTCTTCGGCAACACAGACATATCTACATATAGTTCTTATGCAAAAAGAGTATTTTCTAAAAATATAATTTTTAACTGCGAAGCTTTTTTCAAAATTTAAAATCTTTTATACCTAAATTAGTTAAAAAACAATAGAACACATTACTCTCACGTCCTGATATATGATTAGCTTTTGTCTAAATATAAAACTGTCATTCCTAAATCACTTTAATAATAGAACAATGGAAACATTTGTTTCTCAGAACACCTCAACATGTGCCTTCCATATACCATATGCCATATTACAAAAGTTTACTCGAATATCTAAAAACTATATTGTATTTTCTATACGGGTACCAATTTGTACCAACTGTGTTTTTTTCATTTTGCCATTACATAATTTATTCATCAACTACTAGACCAACTTGTTATGTGATATGGAAAATATTAAATATATATTCTAAAACTACCTTATTTATTATTTACTTATTGCTGTTATAAATACAACAAAAATCAGTTTTTACATTAAATTTTTAATTGGTCTATCAGCTCTCTTCTCAGTAACTTTCCTGTGGAATTTTTCGGTAATTTATCGACAAAAATTACTCCACCGTGCAGACCTTTGTAGGCGGACAGGTTATCTAAATAAAAAAAGAAGTTATAAGTTACGTATAACATTAAATAATATTGTAAATATACCTGCTACATAGTTTATCAACGTTTCCTCGGTTATATCACATTCTGGAGCTTTAACCACGAAAGCCACTGGTAATTCCCCGGACCTTTCATCAGGCTTACCAACCACGCCGACGTCCATAACCCCGTCAAGTTTTTTAAGCAGATCTTCCAATTCCGCCGGTGACACCTTTAAAATAATAATTTTAATGTTTAGCTTGGACCTATAATAATTATTATAATGTTTAAGTTGGAATGGTTACCCACCTGAAATCCTTTGTATTTGATTACCTCCTTTAATCTGTCCACTATGAACAGCACCCCATCCTCATCAAAGTACCCCAAGTCGCCGGTTTTTAAGAACTCATCATCGTCGAAAGAGTTTCTTGTCTCTAAATCGTTTGCAACGTAACCCTTCATACAACCAGGACTTTTTATGCAGACCTCGCCCTTTTTACCCAGCGGCAAAACTTTTTTGGTATCAAGATCTATAATTTTTATTATGGTACCTGGTACCGGAACCCCGACACTGCCATGTTTGGAAGTGGTAGTCTTCGTGGTCATTGTAACAGCCCCTGCTAACTCCGTCACACCATATATTTGCTTAATTTCAGCGTTTCTAAATCTTAAAACAAACATAGCAAATATCTATTTACTTATTACCATTATGTTTTACCTTTTTTTGACACATAGTTCCAACTCTTTACCGGCCGGTGCAGCTCCACAAAATATATTGGTGACTGAATCCATGTTATAGTTTTGTAAAAGCGGGGTTTTGGCCAAAAACAACAGCAATGAAGGTACCAAAAATAAATTTGTAACTTTGTGTTCCTCAATAGCTTTCAAGTAAATATCGGGTTTGAATTGGGTTAAGAAAATCGACTTGGATTGTGTGGTCATGCAAGTAAAACTGATTAACAAACCAAATATGTGGAACATCGGTAGTACAACTAGGGAAACAGATTTTTCATCTAGTCCCACAAAATCTGGATGCCTAAAATTTACCTTTATTATTTGTATAATTCGGCGGTTTTAAATTAAACGTCACAACGTTCTGCGCGATAATTTGAGACTTTTTTTTAAATTTGTTTCGGCGTTTTCCTAATGCCAAAAAATTTAAAAATTGGTTCTAAATTTTTTTTTTGATTTTTAATTTCTTTACAGGGTGGTTAGAATCGCAAAAATCGCCTATAACGTTTAACGGGATTGTTTATGTTTTAATTGATTGGCATATATGTAAGATGTTGTTATTATTATTAAAATTATTATTATTTAAATGTTTACCCAATTTAATAAAAAACATGTGTTAAAAAAAACATGATAGTCCCAAAAATCAAACTTATGGGGGACTAAATGGTTATAGTGAAGTCGTTTAGTATTGTGGTAGTGCGTACCTACTACTAGATTGTGTGTGTGTACCTCGCGTGAGCTGTTGAAAAATGCCAGAAATTGTTGACGATTTCGTCGTAACCACCTGCCACTAAAAACGTCGCGATGATTTACAATTTTTTATTTCTTCGCGTTAGAAACTTGAGAATTTCATTAAATCAACAAGGGACAAGGAAATTAAAACTTTGAGACTAGAATTAACAAATACCATCTAATTAAATTAGCAAAACTTTCGAAAAAGATGGTACTATCATGGACACCAAAAAGTCCCATGCGAAAAGAGATAGCGCATGCAATACAAGGCTTCGCGTTGCGGTATTGCCAGATTTTAACCTTTACTGCTTATTTGTAGGAAAGATTAATTAGTATATTTAGGCGCTTCATTAATCCGTATGCTATATAGGTAGTTCAATCAAGTATCGGTGCATTTTTCGTTTTTGCGTTCGAAAATTTGTTTCAGTTATATGTATGATGTATTATTCTCTCTTTGATAAAAATTCATATTTCTACAACCTTTGAAGTTAGCGACTTAATTTTTTTTTAAACTTTGTTAATGTTTTGACTATATTTGACTCGATATATATGTATAGAAATTTTCAATATTTCACATAGCTCGCCGCAAGTTTTTGATGTACGATTTTGATAATTGTATATTGCAATTTTTTTTTCAAAATCTTTAGAAATTTTTAAAAATTTTGAATTACTATTAGAAGCGCTAACATTTCAAGGATAAAATCAGAATTTTAGGTTGTATTCTAGAATTAATAAAACGGTTAGTGTTACGAATCACCCACCCTCGTAGTGGAATAAAATCGCTTCTCCGTTTGGAATTAAAATTCTTTATAAATTATATTATGCAAAATATTTTCAGAAAAATATGAAGTCGCTGAAAAAATAAATAATAATAAAAATATTTTTGGGGCAATTTTTTTTCCAAAAATCAATAATAAATAATAATAATAACAAGAGAAAATGGTTAGTATGACAAGTCAAAAAGGTAAATTAAAATACCAAACATAAATTGGCTAAAATAGAACGATGAAATAAAATTATTTAATTTAAAAAAATTATTGAATAAAAAATGTTTTTTACCCAGTAAAATTTAAAGAATAATAAAATGATCATTTTTTAATACCTCAAGGTGTTAAATCTTCTCATTTTTACCTTGCTAAATATTTTTTTACTTCTTCGTAATTTAATCACGAATTTTTATTTTGGTAAAAATAACTACCTTCATAATTTAGGTATCCCTTCCTGACTTTTAAAGTTACAAGTGAAGTGCTGAAGTGTTTCTTTAAACAAAGTGCTGAAGTGTTATTGTAATAAGTGTTGTGTTATTTTATTAGGCAATTAATTTGCTAATAATTATTAGTGTTATATTATTTTATTGTGGTAAGTTAAATTAATATTACTTTTTTTATTTTGGCTATTTGCAATATGTCTGTGACAGATAATAATACAGTTTTCAAGCATCCATGCATAAGGGACATTATTGTTTTTGCAAGATTTGCAAAGAAACAATGCTGGCTGTGAGTATCAAACAAGTAAATATTCACTTCACCATAAAAAAATTAAATGGCGAGGAAACTCCAATTGTCATATTTTGTATAATATAATTTATAAAGAATTTTAATTCCAAACGAAGAAGCGATTTTATTCCACTATGAGGGTGGGTGATTCGTAACAATAATCGTTGCGTTGTATTAATTCTAGAATACAATCTAAAATTCTGATTATTTGCAGACTGTGAGCGCTTCTAATAGCAATTCCAAAATTTTAAAAATTTCGAAAGATTTTGAAAAAAAATTGCAATATGCAAAATCGTGCATCAAAAACTTTACCCTGCGGCGAGCTATGTGAATTATTAAAAATTTCTAAACATATATATATATCGATTCAAATGAATTCAAAACATTGACAAAGTTAAAAAAAAAACTTCAACGGTTGTAGATATATTAATTATTATCCAAGAGTCCTGAAATGCGCGCTAGAATAATACATCATACATATAACTCGAAACAAATTTTCGAACGCAAAAACGAAAAATTCACCGATACTTGATTTAACTACCTAAACCCCGTATAGCATACGCCTACTGACGGCGCGTCCAGATCAGGCAAGAGAGTAAGCATATCGACACGGCTTCGAATATCCGAGCACTGTCACATACATATAAAGAATTCTTAAGTCTTTTGAATTAAATAGATATTATTGTAGATTTCACAACAGTGCCTAGCGACTTTTTATTGGTTGTTTTGTATTCGCGGCAAGGTCAGAGAGAGGACGATAAAACCGGGTGGGACTTTATGATGTCCATCAGTACTAATAGTACCTACCTAATAAAAAAAGGTATATTGAGGGAAACGAAAAACGAGTACACTGAAAAAAATAAGCTGTTGAAACAACAAAAAAAATATTAATTCAACTCTTTATGCACTTTAAATACAAGCAATGGTTTTTGCACGTTTACTTAACCATCTAAAAATGTCAAATTGTATTGTTTAATTGAACAACAAATAACAGTCAAATGAACAAAATAAGAATATTTGTTCTAATCTGCTAATTTGGTTAATTTAACATTCTTAGGGTGTTAAGGTAAATTTCTTGAAATGTCCAGGTAACCTTTTTAGCATATTCACTTAACACCAATAAAATGTTAAATTAACATTCTGAAAATGTAAAATTCTTTAAAGGTTGGTATCCAAAACAAAATTATGGAAATATTATATTATTATATATAAATAGAAAGAATTGAACCTTCACCTCGCCCAGAGTTTTTGTTTTGAGCGTGTTCCACCCATGATACATTTTTGTATCATGTGTTCCACCTACTTCAAATACCGACAGACTGTTTCGCCCTGTATTGAGGGTCTTAACAGTGTCGGGCAATATGGTGTAGTGAAAGTTCTACTGTGGAACACACCTTAAACAAACAGATATCTTATCTTATATACACCTAATCGTAAGCTAACTAAGGCGAGATGTAAGAAAACGTCATTGTCTAATGACGTGGCGTGAGTGTTCGAAGCGCCATTCTCGGCAATTTTATGAATGCAAATTTTACATTTTAAATTTTAAAGTAACATTTTAAATTTGTTAAATGAACAAATTTAAAGTTTTGGATTAAAGAGCAACTAAACGTTAATTTAATAGTTTTTTTAGGTAATCCTAAAAATTTCAGTAGTTGATTCAACAAATTCCAGCTACCTATTAAATCAAAGTGCGATAAACATTTTAATTCAAAATATTAGTTTATGTTAAATTAATATTTAAACTGTCAAATGAACAAATAAACTTTGACAAACTCTGACTTTTGCTTTAACACCAAAATATAGATTAATCCAATAGGTTTTTTGTTGAAACAACATTTTTAAAAATGACATTTAGGCAAATGTTAACTCAACTACATTATTTTTTTTCGGTGTAGCATGTATAATTAGGCAAAAAAACGCCACCTCAAATTAAATAAAAAAATCATGATGATAGCCCTAAGTTTTCCGCAAATTTTGACTACTTATTTTTGGGGGGAATCAAAACAGATCCAAGCCTACGCGTAGCTACGCCGCGGCGCGCGTTTCCGAAAGACGTGCGCTCGGTCTAACAGAGAAAAAATTGTTTAACGATTCTCTCTCCCTCTCTTTTTCTCACATACACATTAATATTTTCAAACTATATTTTATTAAAACTCCAAATAATTTTTTTTTCTAATTTATTAAAAAAACAAAACAATCAAATTAAAATATCGTCGATGGCTTAGCAATAACTTCTATGTGCAAATAATTTTTTTAACCGACTTAAGAAAAGCTTAAAATATTTAAAAAACTTACTATTACAATAAAAATGTTTTATTTTAATTAGGTATTTTTCTAGGTAATCTTCTAGCTCTCGTTAACTTTTTTTAAGAAAACATAGGTTTTTATTTTAACTAAGAAGAAAAAACTTATTTGTTTACATATTTGAAAATTTGCAGCTATTGCAAATTAAAATCTACATATCATGATCCCTGGTTTTATAGAACTAACTGTAGATTTCTGAATAAATAAAATACCAATTTTATTGATATGTTAAGTAAATAATTATATTAATTTTGTACCTATAACTATATTCATTGCATTTAAATCTTACATAGATAATAGATATGTACCTACAAGTCTTAATGGCATTATACAAAATAATGGATTATTTTAATTTAAAGCTAAAATTGAAGGCCTTTGGGGGAAAGGGAATGAACAAAAATTAAATGTCTAAAATACCATAGTCGCGACTTTACCAAATATTATAACTTAAACTGTAAAAGTAATTTTATTAACTAAGATTTCGCCAAATTTTTGCTTATCACTTTCTTTTTCAGGGGTCTCTTATTACACCATCTTTTTCTTTTTGTTAATTATTGGAGATTTTAAACTTAAAAACTACGGTTCGTTTTTTTTATTGAGACTCAGGAAACGTCGTAGTTAGCTACATTGACTTAAACAATTTAAACTGCTGGAAAACATATGGTTGTGTTAAAATTACATTTTGAGTTTAATTTTAAACATAGAGAAATAAACAACAAGGTTAATTAAACTAAAAACATTGGTATTGTAATAGTAAGTTTTTTTAAAATATGTTAAACTTTTCTTAAGTCGCTTAAAAAAATTTAATTTGCACATAGAAGTTATTGCTAAACCATCGACGATATTTTAATTTGATTGTTTTGTTTTTTTTTAATAGAAAATATTAATGTGTGTGTAAGAGAAAAAAAAAGAGAGAGAGAATCGTTAAACCATTTTTTCTACTTTAGACTGAGCGTCCGTCTCTCGGAACCGCGCGCCGCGGCGTAGCTACGCGTAGACTTGGATCTGTAGCAACGATTTCACATGCATTTCTTTACAAAAAATTCATAACTTCTACAGTTTTTGAGTCCTCCCTAAAAATAAATTTGCCGACTATTTTATCTTAAAGAGCGACAAAAAATATGTTTATATGATTTTTTTCGAAATTTTTTGTCATTCGGGTTTTTAAATAATCGAAAAATAAGACAAGTGACATTTTTTGTTGTTTATTTTGTAACACCTACAAAAATGAATAAAAAAGTTGAAATTTTAGATTTCTCCATTACTTTAGTTCCTCTATCGACCCTGAAAATTTGAAGCAAATCGGAAACATGAAATCTTACTCTTGGCCGATTTGGCGTGGACTGCCCCATATATTTTTAAAAAATATTTTTTTACCTAATTTTTAATTTGTCGCTGTTAAGCGTAAAGCGCGGAAAAAACCTGTTTGTCGATATAAAAAAAATATTCATATGTTAAATTTTTACATGAAGTATGCGTACAATAAAAACATCAAATTTTCAAACCCCTGTATATCTGCAACCCGTCAATCTTTTCCGTCACCCTTTTGCAAAATTAGATTAGTTTGATTTAACAAAATTTCGTAAAACCGGAAACGACTTTATGATTAGATTTGAACACTTGAAGTGTTTTGCCCCACATGCCAATCGAATAAATAAATAAAATATAAATAATCCTGTAAAACGTGATCAGCGATTTTGGCAAGAATTATTACAAAAAAATCACGATACAAATTGGGAGCGGGGGGTTATTTTGGATGATTACGAAACATTTTTCCGTAAATTTGAAAATCCGAGCCAGGGGCGTGCTGGGCCGCCGGGACACCGGGAGAAATCCCGGTGGGCCGGTGGTCCGGAGGGCTAAGTGGGCCGGTGTGCCGGAGGGCTATGTAGGCAGCATGCCGCAGCACGTGGTCAATTAAACACTTTTTTAGTTGAGTTATGTATAAATATCATAATTATTTTACACATACCATGCATGTCAGCCTGCCAGCTTTGTTTCTTTTTTCGAGATTGTATATTGTTTATAAGTTTCCTGAGCGATGATAATTTGTATTAGTTTTTATTTTAAGTGCAATGCTATATGTTTTAGCATTGTGTAAAATATTGTCTGGTTGTGTTTGTTGCCTGTTTTTTTTTTCAAGAATTTAATTTATACTTTATGTTATTAATTATTAATATATTAATAAATGTTTGAATTTTTTAAACTTGGTTTTGTTCACCCCCCATTTTTCGTGTGTAGTTGGCCGATTTTTCTGAATTTCCCGGGCCGGTCTAATATAGCCAGCACGCCCCTGATCCGAGCTGATTCCCCCTTCAAGAACACCAATTTTAGTCAAAATCTTGTTTATTAAGTCAAAATTCGTGAAATGAGAATGGAGTTTTCACCATGAAAATATAAATCGGTAAAAACTTATTTTACAGTAGGAACTAGGTTGTCTCATAATATTCCATAAATATTGTATTAAAAAACAAATATTACAAATATTCCACCAAACCCAACACCAAAACAAAACACAAAGTGCTTAAAGTATTTTTCGCCAAAGATGTTTGCATCTTCAGAAGCGAAGAGTAATTTTATCCAGTTTTCGAAAAATTCCTTCCAGACCAGACCAGAAGTGTACTGGGGTTCGTAAGGAATGGTCATAAACTTGACTTTTGTGGGCTCTGTTTGAAAAGTCGTTAACCTAGAAAGGCAAGACTTAAATTTAATTTAATTTACTAGGGTGGGTTCAAAACCATTGTCTCTAGCAATGTCGTTTATAAAACTGAGCTCTACTCTACTGTGGAAAGTTCACCAACCTACGAACAAGAAAGTTAAAACTAGCCTACTTATTTTATGTGCAGTGGTTAGAGTCTGAAGTGATGTAACGTGCAGTGTTTGTAGGTTTTCTGTTACAGTAGATATCAAACTCTAGAGTATTGTTGAATCTAATCACTACGGTATCTAAAAATGGTAGCTTGACATCTTTTTCCAATAAAAGGTGAATTTAATAGAGGAAATACAGTTATTCAATTTGGAAACAAAATCATCTAAGCTGCAAGCGTTTTGATCAAAAATAGAAAATATGTCGTCCACGTATTTTAACCAAATCCTAGGAAAAACCTGAAGCTACTAAGTTCCTTTTCAAAGCGGTTCATGAAAAGATCAGTTATAAAGGGGAACAAGGAGTTCCCCATAGCAGTCCCTTCATGCTGTTTATAGAAGCAACCGTTGACTTGGAAACAATTTTGCCGCATGCAGGCAGGCAACTTCAAGTATTCAGCAACAGTCTCATTGGAAAAACTATTTTCTTTAAGTAAATCCTCTAGTTAAGTCAATGTAAGTGGTACTGGGACACTTGGAAAAAGAGAACTAACATAAAATGAAACTAATAACTCACTTGCAGTATAACACTTTTGACATATTACCAAAGTTGTCCTTTTGCAAGTATTGTATTGGAAATTCAATTTAAATTATCAAAAATCTGAAATGTTGTATTGTTGCCATTTTAAATTTAAAAAATAACCAAAATTTGTTCTACACATTCAACTTATACCCCGTACCTTAGAATGACAAGGTTGTAAGTGCAGTTGTCATGTTAAGCAAAAATGCTTTTCATTCATATAACAATATAAAATTAGGTCCCTTTCAGAAGATAAATTTGTGATCGTTATTGTGTAAAACAAAAAATCATTTTTAAAGCTTGGTGTAAGCGTGGCAACGCCCCTGCTTTGATATGCAACAATAATTGCAAACAATACTAAAGTCTGGATTTACGTTGCGTGTAGAAAAAAAAATAACGTTTGAACGTTTTTGTGATGTACGACAATCGCTAAAAAACAGACAAAAGAGAAAGCTGTTATCTTAGAGAATTTAAATATAAAGTTTTTTGGGTCGCTGATAACGAATTTAGCCAATATTGCAAAAAATGGCGTATTATAAAGAGTAGATATGAGTACATTAAATGCAAAACTCGGTTTTTGCAAATTTTTCAAAATATATATTTTATCCTATTTTTGTACATTACTGCACTGCCTACAGCATACCTAGGTAAACCAGATGTATAAGTTAGTATTTGTAGAATAAAATACATTTAAAAACTTAACGCAGATGCAAAACTGGGTATTTGTTTCTTCCTGTCGGATGCAAAACTCGGTATTTACTGTTGACCAATCACGTCGCTAGTATACGCATTATTTGACGACATAACAATCACCTGATTAATTGTTATAACAATCACCTGATTAATTGTTATAACAATCACCTGATTAATTGTTATTTTTTGGTATTTGCACTTTTCACTTGCAAAACTTGGTCTTTGAACGAGGAAGATGCAAAACTATGTTTTTAAAACTTCTGAATACAATTATTTAGTAAAATACCTAATTTGAAAGGATTTTTTTTTACTCGTTTGAATAAAAATGATGCAAAAGCACGTCTATACAATTTTTGCATTTTTTTTTTCAAAAATGATCTTATGAGCGGTTTTTCATGTTTTTCTTAAAATCACTTATCCTGCAAATACAGAGTTGTGCATCTAATGTACTCATATACCAGTACAAAGTAAATGTTAATTTTTTTTATTTTATTAGTAGAATAAATAGAATTTATGTAGGATAATTAATATAATAATAATAATAATAATAATAATAATAATAATAATAATAATAATAATAATAATAATAATAATAATATTAATATTACACAATTTACTAAAAAAAAGAATACAAAAGCCAGAACAAAATTCTAACACTAACTGTTTGCCAGAGGGGAAAACGCGTACTAATTTGAGTCAAACAAAAAGAGTCCACCATATCGCATTCGTCATTTATTTTTAAACTTCAAAATCATCATAAAACACCCAAGCATATTTTGGTAAAAAAAGATTTCTGAATAAATATCCGCCATATTAAATCTATCATTTTGTTTTAAAAACTAAATAAAATTTTTTTTATCAGCGACCAACAACAACATTTTTCTTATATACCCTGTATAAATATTAATTGAATTTTTAAAACAATATTTGTGGAATATTATAAGGCAACCCAATACTTAATGTAAAATACGTTTTTACCGATTTGTATTACCTTGATGAAAACCCAATAAGTTTATTATTACATTTTTTTACTTACATCAAGTACTCCATGCTATGTCTTATATTGTAGTGAGTTAACGCAACTGCTTTTGGTAAGCCTGAAGTTCCAGAAGAGAGTAGTATTAAAGCGGTTTGTTTTTTAGGATCTACTTTTTCCAATATATAATCATCATAGATGGAGTTCTGTTGACTTATATAACATATGTTTTTAAAATTATCGTCAATTACATCCTCCAGCAAAATAATTTCTTTTATACTATTATCAGTATGTCTTCTGTAGTTTTCCAAAGTCTTCAAACAAACCACGGAAGCAAAAATAATTGTCGGTTTGGTGATTGAAAAACAATGCTTGAACTCCTCTACAATAATTCATTGTAATATACAATTTATTTTATTCATGACTTATTTGAAACCTTTATTGTATATGGGGTTTAGGGCATTCATGGGTATGCCCAAAAAAAGGCCTGCGTTCAGTACCACATAGTACTTCCACGTGTTTGGAGAAACGATAGCTATAACATCTTCTTTTTGGGTATACCCTTGACTTTTAAGGTACTTTGCAAGGCTGATGCTCCACTCCAGCAAAATTTTATTTGGGATTACTTCATTTGAAGTATGGTCTATCTAAAAATTGTCATTGTTTATGTTTAGAAGTTCATTTTTAATACATGTAGCCTGCGGCATAGCCCATATCTAAATTATTGAACCCACGCCAAATTTATATGAGTTTACAATGATATTATATAGACAAGTTCTGAGCAAACAAAATATAAATTGAAGTTTGCCAAAAAAATAAGTTTTTTAATCCTGCCCCCCCCCCCCCCAAATTAAGAAAATTTAAATTAAAATTTACATTTTATCAACCAATTTCAAAATGTATTTAAAAAGTACAAGTATTACAGATTGTATACCATTTCTATTTTTTTTTTAATTTAGTAAAAGAAATAAAAAATTTAAAATTAAAATATTATAAAATCTGTAATACTAATACTAAAATATTATAAAATCTGTAATACTAATACTAATACTTGAATTAAATAAACTTTGAAATTTTTGATAAATTGCAGTGAATTAAATATTGCACCTCTTTAATTTTAATTATCTTAATTTGGTGGGCAGCAGGCTGGGGGTACATACCAAAAAACTAACTTTTTTTCGCAAACATAAATTTAATTTCTGCTTTCGCAGAACTTGTCTATACGTATAATGTTATATAAATTTAGTGTGGATTCCATGTTTACCTAATAACTGAGATATCTGTGTACCCAAAATCTACCAGCAGCTAAATAATGCAGGTCATTGACTATTGTTTGTGAGATAACCTTAAGGTCCCAAGTGATAAACATGTTTTGTTGATAGAAAGAGATCTTTAAAAATAGAATATTTTATTGGGGTGTTGTTTTTGGTTTTAAATAACTAATTCGTCATACAGGGTGTTTCATTGGGAAACGGAAATATTTTAAGTGCAGGTAGGAACGTTCCTACCTGCACTTAAAATATTTCCGTTTACAAATGTGGGTTTTTTAGAACCCTCACAGTGCACTGTGAGGGTTCTAAAAAACCCACATTTGATGGGTCTATCGCCCTTTATTTCAGAAATACAGGGTGATTCATCAATTTTGTTGATTTTTTTTTATTGTTATGTATTTACCTTCTTTGTTATTTAAAAAATTAATAAATTTTGAAGTTTCTATTAAACTATGTTTGAAAATTTATTTATTTTTTACTTGAAAAGTACGGCCCTGTACTTTTTGAATTCGTATTTTCTGTAAAATAGTAAAGTAAGAATTTAATTAGATATGAACCTAGATAAATTAAAAGTAAGAAATTTTGATTCTGCAGTAGGTAAAGTTACAAAAACAAATCATCTCTTTTAGGGTACACAGAATTTCGAAAATTTTGGCCAAGCCGCACCTGGAATTTTTTGCAACTTGGTATACCTACTTATTAGGTAGGAGACCCTTAATCCGTATATCAATGTTGAGAAAAATATACGAAGCCGTTTAAAAGTTATGTGCAATTAAAGAAATAAGCAACATTGATGAATCACCCTGTATTTCTGAAATAAAAGGCGATAGACCCATCAAATGTGGGTTTTTTAGAACCCTCACGGTGGTTCCTACCTGCACTTAAAATATGTCCGTTTCCCAATGAAACACCTTGTATAGAAAAAACTAGTTAAAGTAAAAATAATATTAATTTAAAAAAAAATAAAAATTACCAAAACAACTTTATTAGGGTCCCCACTTTTCATAGAACCATAACAAAACTGTCCAAATGATTCAAAATCATTTTTCTGACTTATTTTTGCACCTTCAACGTACACCATCACTATTTAATAATTATTGCAAGCTGAAGTAACCTACTAAAGACTGTTTTAGTTATTGTATTACAAGATTGTTATATGGGACTCTTGGATGGTGATAAGGGAAACAAGTAATAAATAAACTTAACGGCGTTATAATTTATTTATAAACATTATTCGTAAGTTTCTTTGTTTGCTTTTTGGGCTTTTCCTCAATTAAATTAAAATTAATAATCATTAAAAGTTTTATAATAAAAATTGATTTATTAATAATTTTTACTGCTATACTGAGTATGATAAAAAATAGTCAAATTCGTTTTCGAGATATTTAAAAAAAAGCCTTTATCGGGTTTTTAAGTAAAATTAGTTTAGTTTCATTCAACAACGGTTTACAGTAGGTATTGCGGAAAGAGTTGAAATGATTCCTTTTTTTAAAATAGAGTGCCAACATCGTGCAGCAGATTTATTTAATGAAGAGCAACAGGATAGGCATGAAAAACCGGATTTTTAGACCTGAACGTGAAAGTCCGGTCAGGAATGAAGAAGTTGGAGTATAATGAAGATAGTAGTTTTAGAACAAGTTCTTGCTGATCCAACTTTGAGTACCTGAAAATTAGCTACAGTTACCAAAATCTCTAATACACCCATCCAACGGATCCTTCGATCTCATTAATTTGTTCCTTACAAGATTCATTTAGTCCATGAATTAGGTAGGTAAATAAGGATAATTTTGACCGGCGCAGTGACTGGAGTTTTGCGAAACAAAAACTAAACAAATAACTAGGCATGGGCATTAGACTGATTAAAAAATCGACTATATGATAGTTGCATTAAAATAAAATCTATATTTCATTTAAATAGCATAAAAAAATTAACTTTGGAATTATATATCTTTAACGGATTAATGGACCTAAATGAAAACAATATATTCTAAAAATAATATTTTTATAGATTATTTAAAGTAAACGCTTTGCAAAGAGGTCTCTTATTATTTTATAATAAATATACTTGTTCAAAAGTTATTAAAGCTTAAAATTAAATTTATAGTAAATTTCAAGTTTTCTTACTTATTATTATTTTCTTAGTTATTAAATTGCAAGATTGTTAAATGGGACTCTTCGACGGAAAAAAGTAATAAATAGACTTAACGGCATTATAATTTATTTATAAACATTCGTAATCATCATTGTTTGTTTTATGGGCTTTTTCCTCATTAAAATTAATAATAATTAGTCATTTAAAATAAAATGCATTAATAGTTTTATAATAAAAATTAATTGATAATTTTTACCCTTTATTTTAGTTAAAGCAATTACAGTAAATTGCACTTTGTGTTTTGTTTTGGTGTTGGGGAATATTTCTAATATTTGTTTAATTTACCTAAACATTTTTTTAAATAAACTTATTGGTGAACCACTATGAGACGCTGTTTGCGTCAAAATTATTTTAGGCTTATATAGATAAAAAAATCCACACATACCTACATGCGAAAATGCAAATATAAAGTTTCTTTTTGGTACATATATAGAAATGCAAAAGTGCATGTACAAGGTTTCGTTTTGGTACACATATAGATATGCAAAGATGTGGGTACAAATATAGAATATAATATAATGTTATATAAAGTGTAGCATGGGCCGTTGGTACAAATATAAAAAGTACGGTTTGGGACGGAGACACAAGATGGCGTTTTTAACACTTTCAACCGCGCTTAAGCGTACGTCTGTTCTTACTACCGGCATTTAAATTTTCTACTGTGTATTATAGATTAACTACTTTTAACGTTTGTTTGTTTTAATTAAAAGGAGTTTAGTTGAAAATAGGTAAGTTATAAACGCCGTTTTACTTTTTACTCTTACCTATTTTTTACAAAACGATTCGTTTTAATTAAAACAAACAAACATTAAAAATGAGGTTAAACTAGAAACTTAAATGCCGGTAGTAAGAACAGACGTACGTTTAAGCGCGGTTAAAAGTGTTGAAAACGCCATCTTGCGCCTCCGTCCCAAACCTTACTTTTTATATTTGTACCAACGGCCCATGCTACACTTTATATAACATTATATTATATTCTATATTTGTACCCACATCTTTGCATATCTATATGTGTACCAAAACGAAACATTGCACATGCACTTTTGCATTTCTATTAATGTACCAAAACGAAACTTTATATTTGTACCTGCACTTTTGCATTTTTATATATGTACCAAAAGAAAACTTTATATTTGTACCTTTACTTTTGCATTTCTATATATTTACCAAAAAGAAACTTTATATTTGCATTTTCGCATATATGTGTGGAATTATATCTATAAAAGCATAAAATAATTTTAACGCAAACGGCGCCTCATAAACCACTGTCATGACATGACATATTGCAATAAGAGCGTTGATATTTAAAAATGCATTTGCAAAACTTACATTTACCTGCAGGTATGGAACTGGTAGCTCACTAACGGTTTCATGGACAACATTTGGAGTGCTGTCAGCATTTGAACTGTGCACTGGTGTTGTCCTTACATGGGCTTCTGGACAGTCTCTGAGCATGTAACCCATCTTTTCACATTTGAAACAGCTGACCTTTTCTCTCTTTGGCTTTCGACATTGTTCCACCTTGTGTCCCATCAAGCCGCAGTTGTAACATTTCATTTTGGTGTTGCTCGTGGTTCATCTGGGGTTTATCGTAAGTTCTTTGAGTAGGTTGGTGGTGCATGACCTCTGTCTTTAAGAGTGACTCGATTCATTACAGATACCAACGCTTCAGGTCCAGTAAAATTCTGCATTCTAGCTTGCACTTGCAATGTAGAATTATAGAATCCATCAATAAGATAGTCAACCATGTCATTGTTATCTAAACCGACCCTGTTGCCCAACATAACATTATCATTGTAGTAAGTTAAACATGTTTTCGTTTTCGCCACCTTCTATTAAAAATTCTTCATTAATTGTACTTTATCGATGCCAGAGGTGAACATGTTATTAATCTACACTTTTAACGTCTCCCATGGCATTTATAGATGCCTTGTCTTGGAATAATACCATTTTAGTTCTGCAAATTTTAATTTGTTTAAACAATTAAATGTGTTCTGCTCTCATCCGTCTTATAAATATTTTGCACTGTAGCCACCTTCTGGATCCACGATTCCCTATCGATTTCATCGTATTCACTACTAAAATCTTGGATAAGAGTAGATATTTCTTTATTACTTACAGGAACTGTTTGGCTTTTTGGTTCCTTTGCAGGTAGTATTTGATTTGTAGCATCATTTACACGGCATGCAGTTCTGTTTATTTAAAAAAAAGGATTGATCTTACTGATTGTTGGATGATTTTATCGACACTAGGCCGACGTCCCTCTTCTTCATCACTTTTAGCCATGTAACGTTCTTTTCCAAATCAACGTGCATAACATAAAATCTCGAATATCTGGAAAATACCTTGTAGGATTATTTAAATTTTACCATACATAATTCGCATCTCACTTCTGAATCTGTAGGAGGCCTTATTTCTTTATTTTTTATCAGGATGTTTTTAATAAAACTGGATATTAATTTTTGTAAATTTTCTATATTTGAACGTAACAACTCTTTTTCTTCTTTTCTTAACTCATAAACTTTACAGGGTTCTACCTTATCGTAATTGCGTAATAAATTTTTCCACAACCTTATTATTATTATTATTATTTTAATGTGCTTTCAACAGGCACCAGGCCCAATTACAGAAGTACACAATGACAAACACAAATAAACAGCCATACCCCTGGTGGGATTCGAACCCACGACCACTCGGTTGTAGTTCGCAGTGCTAACTACTACACCACCGAGGGTGTATTCAAGATGTGCATTTCTTGTATTCTACAAGTAAGACTTACCTACCTATGTTTCGACAGTGTTATTGTGATGAACTGTAATAAACTTTGCTTAAGACAACACTGACATTTTTTTGTAAATACTTTTATTTATCTTTTATTTTACAATATCCAAATATTATTTTTGTCATACGCTCCCAAAAATAGCTATTTTACGGACTCATTTAAGTCCGTAAAATGCTTCTTTTTCGGCCTAGTCCCTAAAAGTCGTCATGGCAACCTTTACGGACTATTCCAAAATTCCTTAGAATGTCTAAATTTTTAGGCTCGTAACCAACCGAATTCCTTTTCAAAAAAGCAATAACTTTTGAAAATTTCTTGAATGAATATTTTCTTTAACACTTAACACCATATTTCGACCAAATTGTCGACGGTTTGAACGTTTGTGACTGTAATTTAAAAGATTATTTTAATTTAAAAGCCTCAAAATACATTTTGCGTTACTAAGTATTTAGATTTTTTAAATGTTTACTTACTTTTTCGTGTAAATAATTAAGAAATACATCTTCATTTACAACGAGTACGCCATTTTCGTGTTTCCATTCAATAAAAGCATCATAGGTATTCTTTATGGTAAATGGCGCGAGAATTTACAGGAAGTAAATCCAACACGATTTCTTGGGCCTTATTAGCAATATATTCGGGATTTTGAAACATTTTAAAATTTATGTGCCTTTCTAACAAATTTCGAATGACATTACAAAATTATCAAATTGTAATAGGGGAAAAATCTTAAGTTTCACTAAATTCAAAGAAATTGTTGTTTTGAAGTAATAAGAAATTTAATACTTGGAAGGATTTTTTAAGAGAGCCAGATGTCACTTGGGGGGGCTTGGGAGCATGTTTTGGAAGTAATAAATAAATAGATAGAAAGTTTCTTTGCCCAAAAAGTTCACCAGCGGAAACGCGCACTGAAAAGTAGCCAGATGATGTTTTTCTTAGAAAGCCTTAACGGTCATTTGAAAACGCTTCCCTTTGTTTAAATCGATCGTTGGAAAATTTAATAATAGAGAAAGTAGTTAAAAGAATAATAACAAATTTATTTAGTTAATAATCATTTAGATTAAAGAATTAGGACTAAGATAAGGATATAACCAGCCGTATAGTAGTTTTACCGATAAGTTCTAAGAATTTAATGTAACCCTAGAAAATTGTCTAAATGTATAACTTAGGTTGAAGTAAAAGGGTCCTATGCCGACATAGGATATTTTAATTTTTTGGACTTTGTTAACGGATTTAAATTTTTATAGAAAATAAGTAACTTTGTAGTTAGGCAACCCCGAATTCACCCTAAGTCAGCATTAAGTAGGGGTAGAAATATGTCACTGCACGCCGCTGATTGGCCAAACTTCAACCCTAAGCCAAGTCACGCCCTCGACTTAAGGGAGTCTTTAAAAGCTCGACTCAACTGCGTTCTGCAGATTTTATCTTGCTAGATTTCGCGCGCGTCGTTTCCGAGTTACGGTCGAAGTTTTAGCCAGTCAGTGTAATTAATTAAGTCAGGTATATTGTTAAGTTTATTGTAAAGTTGCTTATACCGGTATTTGCAGTTAAGTTCACCTTAAGTGACCGGTTTAGTTTAAATTTTGTAGTTTAAATTATTAGTTTTATAAGATTCATTTAGGTTACCTTTTATAAAGTTAATTTAGTTTCCACTTATCAGTTTAATTCAAAAGTTAGTTTTTTAATCTTAATTCTCCGTAGATTCTTTGTTAATTTTCTTTACCGTTAAATTATTAATTTTTCTTATTTTCTTTGTTAATTTTTATTTTTCTTCTTAATTGTAAATATATTGTTTGTGGTTAGAATCTGCTTTGTTTCTTTGGGTACCTGTTAATTCTAATTACCCAGTGGTTGGCAAGCGTAAGTATATCGTGATTCGCGAAGTGTTCCGGGAGATCCGTCGCGAGTGACTTAGTGTGGTGATTCGTGCTTATTGGGATTACCAAATCATCGGCAACCGTCGCTGGATCAAAGGTCAGATTAGTGGTAACATCCTTGTAACGGACTGATAGTAGTCAATATCAGCCCCGCTCCCCGCGTTAAGTAACCCAAAAAACCACCCGTTACAAAATCAACAAACTTGTTGCTACGATATCAATTATTTCTAAGCCAACTTTTTCGAACATAAGATTTAAAAATTATGGAAAATTTGCAAATTAAGGCGTTCTGAAGAATTGTAAAAAGCGTATGACAAAAAAAAGTATTTGTCACACGTACCTAAATGAAGTTTATCGGGACTCATCTGTTATTAACGTCGTGTCCGGAAACAACAATGATTCGTCCTGAAAAACTTCGTTTTGGGTAGGTACTTGCATCAAAAATAACATCTTTCAAAAATATTCATCCTTAAAATAAAACATTTTCCAACTATCAAAAAAATGTCATCTAAGTCACAATCCACACAACAATGTCTGTTCTATCTCGTTTCGCACCACCATAGAAGTGCACCACTGCACAGACTCGAACTGCGGTCTTTATAAAACGGGGTGCCGGAGCAGAACGGTGTTTAATTTAAATTTCTTGCTGCAGACGATTGATAGTACTATCGTCCCTTGTTATCATTTACTAGAAGGCCAACACGTCAGTTGGTAATGACAAACAGGTTACTACAAACGTTTTAGTGTGTTTTAGAGTAAACTTGGTAAAATTTTGTTTAGTTTTATAAATTTTCGATATATATATATTGTATATACCCATTTTCAGCTTCATTTAAGGGTTGGATTTTATGCACACTGTGCCAAAAGTGGGCTCACAATTCGTGTGCGGGGATAGAGAGTGATGACGACGATGCAGAACTTGTCTGTGAATTGTGTAAGCCCGATAACCCCATTCTGCCCCGTAGGCAAGGCGGAATGGAGTAAAGGACACTTTATTTTAATATGATAATAAAAAAAAATTGTTAAGCATTTATGTTAATTTTTTTTTTGTATTTGGTTTATAATACTTTAATAAATCGTTTTGCTTTTTTTTGAATTTGTACCACGTCTTTACCCTACTAAAATAATTTTTAAACTTTAGAGTCCCCATTCCTCCCCGGTCTCCCCTACATCTTTTGTGCTTTGGGTTTGTGCTGTTTATATAGATTAATAATCGTTTAAAACGTTGTGTTTAAAAATCGTGTTTCTTACAAAGGCATTTATAAGCCTCAAATGAGGCCTTAAAGTACTAAGGGCAACCATTTTAATTCTCTTTTGTAAAAAATAAACCTTATTTAATCAGGGATGTCATCAAACTATCAAATATCAATATTAACGTTAATTTAAGGCCGCATTTGAGGCTTATAAATGCCTTTGTAAGAAACACGATTTTTAATCTGAATAAACAGCACAATAATGCAATGCAAATAATTTTGTTTACTCCAGAAAAAGTTTTTGGCGCTTCGTTCCTTTTCGATAAACGCTATCCAAATAATTGACGAAAATATCATAAATTTTACAATTTTTGAAAGCGGCGGCACATTTTAAATGTTTTTGTTAATAAGCTTACAATTCCGGAAAATAACAAATTCACATTCATTATGATAGAAATGTTTTTAGTTGCAATTATGTAATCTGAATACAACCCCAATATTACAAAAAAACATGCTTTCTTATGGTTAAATTTGAAAATTTAGTTCATTTATGTTAAAAATAAGAATTTAGGTAAAATAGGTAAAATTACACCACACTGAGAATTTCAGCAACCATAGCTAAATCATTTGCTTAAATAGGGGACAGTCAAACACTTTACTATACCAGGATAACGCAATTTGCTAAACAGACTTTACTGTGGTAATTAAAGTACTTTGCAAAAAATAATTCTGTTGTGCTACAAAGTAACTTTTCTATGCCTAAAAAGTAACTTTGTGTGGTTATAAAGTATCCAATAAATAACTATAAAATCTTTTACTAAGGCAACAACAAATGTCTGCTATGTCCGAAATGTGTTTTAATGACACAAAAATACATAGCTGTCTCTGTAGAGACATGTGCTGCTAAAACTTTATTTCTGCTATGGATGAAATATTTTTTTTATAGTAAAAAGCTTCTTTCTTGCAGCAATAAGCCTATA